AGGGCGAAGAGTCGACATGCCGCTACGTTTCGGCTTACTAGTTCATGGGATTTGGGAATGGTGGAGGCGCTGTGCAATAAGTGTCGAGCAGCGCCTCCACTTAGCGGCGACTCCTGGTGCTTGGCTTGCACCGCGTGCGAGTCGATCTCGTGCGAGCTTCGGTCTCGCTGGGGTTCGCACGAGCTGAGGAGGCTCGCAGCGGACGAGCTCGTGGATCAGAGCAAGGCCATCAAGACCCTGCGGATCCTCTCCCTACGCTTGCGGTTCGAGGGGGCAGACCGAAGCGGGGCCAGATCGGGGCCTTCTACAGGAGCAGGTGTTGCACTGGGAGCCACCGGAAAAGCCAAGCCAGGACCACCGCCGAAGGCACCGCCCATCCTCAAAGAGGCTACAGGCAAGACACCGGAGGTCATTGAAGAGGAGGTTGAAGTTGAGAAGTACGAGGAGGAGTCGGAGTATTCGTACGAGACTTCGGAGGAAGAGGTTGACACTTGGCAGGAAGCAGAGAGGCCTCCCGTTGAACGCAAACCCGAGTCGCCGAAGAAGGGCGCTGGGAGTGCAGAGGTTGCAGAGGACAAGAAGGAGAGGAAGCGTAAGAGCCGAGGAGAAGAGAAGGTTGAGAGCAAAGCTTCAAAGAAGAAAGAGAAGAAAGACAAGGGAGAGAAGACCAGGCGTAGAGGACGTCGAGGAGGTAGCAAGCATCAGCAAGTCCATCGTCAGCGACACGACCCAGGCCTTCGGGTACATCGGAAGAAGAGTGTTGAGCAGCTACAGAGGTACAAGGAGAGGAAGGAGCCACCTTACCCCCCACCGGGGAAGGAATGGCGACGTTAAGGTCAGTGTTTCCCTCATGGGCCGAGGGGGATTCCTTCGGTCTGGAGGGAGGACCGGACTGGCACATGGTGACGCCGGTGCGAGGAGACGTGGCAGTTGTGGCCATCAAGGACACCGACATTCCGGCCGAGGCAGAGGAAGAGGTTGCATTCTTGGTGATGAACAGGTTCGTCACCCCCGAAGGAGGAATGGGCTTGGACGTCAAGTCCATCGGGGGATCAACACCGGAGGTCTCTCGCCAATTTTCGAGTTGGTTCAATCGGAAGCAAGGGGTGTTGCATTTGTGTTCAAGTACTCCCTGCACCTACTCCGAAGACCACTATGTGCACACGACTCGGGCCAGATTCTTCACTCGAGAAGGTTTCAATGCCCCTTACTTTGGGGCCGCTCAGAGGAGGCAGGTTGGACGTTGGCTTGGAGAAGGAGACGGAGGAGCTGGCGAGAGCGAGGTTATCGAGGCTGGGGGAGAGTCAGTGAAAGCGACCAGTACCTCCGCGTCGAAGCGGAAAGACAAAGGCAAAGGAGATGGTTCAGGTCGTTTAGAGAAACCTGGACAACGCCCTGGCGCTCTGAAACGCCCCAGACCCGTGACCAAGGCAGCACGGCAAGAACCAGATCCAGCGGAGGAGCCCCCGTTGAAAAGGAAGAGGAATGGAGGAGAGCAGGACGCCATCGACGAGGACCTGACATTAGAAAGTACGGCCGGTGTTGGAGGAGAGAGTGCAAACGATTTGAGGGAGAAGTTGGATGCACTCAGAGAGAGGTTGGGGGCCCGGCCGAAACGCCGAGTGAGCTTTGCAGAGGATGCCAACCAAGATCAAGAGCCCGAGGAAGTGTTGCGGGAGGCTGCAGTGCCCTCAGACTCTGCTCAGGGAAATATGGGATCGATAGTCCATACTTTTTTCCTAGAGGTCAAGGACATATTATTAATTATAAACTTTTCTTGTACCGGACCCCAGTCACAGGATTCCAAAAAAAAACAAATGTTGGTGCAGGATGTTGGTGCAAGATGTTGGTGCAGGAAAAAAATAAGACGCGTAGAAAAAAACATCCTAGGGACTTTTGACCCTCATGAACATGTTAATGACAGGACTTTATAACTGTTTGTTTGCTGTTTCTTGCTTTCTAGAGTTAGGTCAAGGCCAGGATTTCATTTTCATTGGTTCTGCTAAACGTGACAGGTTTGACTTTTTGATCGTGGAGGGCGCGTTGCCTTTTCCATGGGCATCTTACCAGGTGCCACAGTCAGGCCGGTGAGGTTAAGGCACATCACGCCAACGACGAGGCTCTGCAGTCACAGGCGAAACTCGGCTCGATGATGGTTCTCGCGCTTCTCGGGCGCCAGTTTCACGAAAGAACGGAGAATAGATGAAAACAGTGGCACCGTTCGCTGACAGTCGACAAATGCAACGCTGGTCCTCGGAGGACAAAACCCCACCTATCACATTCGCCCTCAAGCCCGATCAAAAAGTCAAGCAGACAAAGCACTTTCCACAAAGCACTTTCCACATTTTGATCTTATGGTCACAAACAAGCAATGCACGCGCATGAAGGACAAGCAAACCAAAATAGACTTAAGCATGGCCCGATTCTGAAGAATCATGTCAGCACTCTGCCCCAGCAAGACGACCGAGAGCATACGCTGAAAAAGAGCCAGAACCTTCGCCTCTCCAACCCCCCCCAAACCAGGAATTTAATACGCCAATATGCTTGTTAGTCATTAGCTCCTGCAACCTGGGTAACAGGATTCCATAAAACACGTTGGCGCGGGATTCCATAAATGCTCAAAAGCTAGCCATTTTTTTTTGGCTGCCAACGTTGGCACACAAAAAAATAAGGGAATGACCTCAGCTCGAAAGGATTTTATTAAATAAAGTCCTTCGTCAAAGCTTTGAGGCACTTCGCATCCCACATAGGGAAGGCCGAGTCTCTCGACGGGGACGAGCTTGAGGAAGAGGAGGACAGAGCCAGAGGTTATAAGAGATTCTACTTCGAGGAGCGTCTCAGCCCAGTTGGTCAATCAGGCTCGTCTCGCCACAGGGCAGAAAGAGAGCCAGTCGAAAGAAGGAGACAAGGAGTTGATGGAGTTGTTGAACCGGGCCATCTCCGAGCGCTCAAGCGCTGGAGGGACGACAGGAGGCAGCGGAGCCCCATCAGACGGAGGAGACCGCAAGAAGAAGAAGAAGAAAGGGAGGAAGAAAGAGAGGAAGAAGAAAGATCGCGGAAAGAAGAAGAAGCGCAAGCTAGTCAACGGGGTCATAGTTTCAAGCTCCAGCTCGGGAAGTTCCTCCAGCGCGTCAAGTGGCACAGAATCCAACGAATTCGAAGCGCCGCTTCGTCGCCGCTCCAAAAGCAGCCCAGGCAGCGTGCTTCGACTGCTAGTGCAGAAGGCCCAGACAGCGCTCGACCAGGCGGCTTTGGTAGAAGGGACAGCCGGAGGAGATGCCATAGTGGGAGGAGTGAAGCTGGTGACCTACTTCCAGCTGCAGATCAAGCCCATGTTCGGGCATGCTCGCGGACCAATGCGCGACTTGGCCTTGATGGCGACGACGCTCGACCTCCTCCGAGCGGGCCACATAGCCAGGGCCGCCGATGCCCTGGCGGGACACTTCCTAGCGTGCCATCAATCTCTGCACGACGGTTCGTGGAGCCAGGCACGATTTTTGGAGGTGGTGGACGACGCAGATCAGGCAGCCACTTCAGCATCGATACTGCTCGAGACCCGCCGCCATGCCAAAGCCACCATGAAGGTCGAAGCACCCGAAGCATGGTTGCCGTGGAGAGGTCGCCCCTGGCAAGGAGGAGAAGGCAAAGGAAAAGGTTGGTGGAGCAGCGACAAGTCAAAAGGAAAAGGCAAAAAGGGGAAAGGCAAGGACAAAGAAAAGGGAGATCGACACAAGGAAGGAAAAGGAAAGTCGGCATGGAAGGAAATGCAGGACAAGGGAGACAAGGACAGTTGAAGGTAAGGAGGTTGCGTGAGGCGACAGTAAATCCCTCGGAGCCATGTGAGGGTGTGGCGCCAAGTTTGAAGAAGCGTGAGGATTCAAACGAAGAGGAGCCTTCTCAGACCCAAGAGGTCGTTGCGTGTGCAGAGGAGGAGAATCTAGAAGTTGAGCATCACGTGATTGTATGCATAGAGGAAGAATTCGGTTCCGGTCATGATATCATTCAGGCGGTAGGGAGCCGGCTTACAGGCCTTTTGAGCGCTGGTTGTCTTTTGGCCTGGATGATTTGCAAGGCTGGAGGATCCAGGAGATCTGGAGCATGGTCGTGGATTGCGAAGGTTGCTTTTGACAAATCATTGTCCGCAGCCAGTCGCGAGGGGTCGAGAAAGGCCGCCTCGTTTCCGGTGAGAGTTGGAGACTTGAGAGGACTTGTTGAGAGGTTGAGGAGCTTGAGCATTGAGGAGATGTTGAATCCAATGATCCATGAGGAGATTGGAGAGGATTGTTGGCTACTTTGTGCATTGACAGCGGCGAACTTCCTGGCGGGCTGTGGAGGCCCGCTGGAGGCCGGCCGTTGGAGCGTGCTTGAACAGAGAGGAGTGGCCACTAGCAGAGCAGCAGTGAAGAGACTGCTCAAGACCCAACCAGGACCTCTTGAGTGCTTTGAAAAAGTTGGTGCTGACCTCGCTCGAGCACGGGTGGGGTATGATGGGGAGGAGCTGGGCACGTGTGAGCCCCTTTCCTTAGAGCAGGTACTCCCCGCACTTCCGCCGGTCGAACACGGAGGTTCAATCCCCCTTGAAGAGATTTTGTCTAGAGCCACTCGTGAACTTTTGGGTGACCCTAGGTCAATGCTTAGAGAAGATTTTACTACACCGAAGCCGAAGATTCCCGCCAATGTGCACTTTGCCAGAGGTGAGCGCATGCAGGTCTGTTGCGAGTTGACACGCAGGAACATTTGTGTTTGGATTAGGAGTGAGGAAGTTGCCGTGTTCAAAGGGGTCCGTATTCTCAATGGAATGTTTGGAGTTAAGAAGCCGGCTTCTCTCCCCAACGGTAAGCCGGTATTGCGGGTCATCATGAATTTAAAGCCCAGCAATGCCATTCTGAGACAGGTGAAAGGAGCAGTTGGATCTCTTCCCAGCATTGCGTGTTTTCAGGCCACGGTACTGGATGAGGGGGAAGAGTTAGTCATGGGACAGTCAGACATGTCTAGTGCATTTTACTTGTTCCGGTTGCCACGTGTGTGGCAGCCCTACCTGTGCTTCAACGTTCATTGTGACGGAGCGGAGATTGGTCAGACAGCAGGGTGTTCCTACACTCTGTCTTGTGCAGTTCTACCGATGGGGTGGAACTCGAGTGTCTCTATCATGCAAGAGGTGTCCGAGCGCATCCTTTGGAACGCCGGGTTCAGCGAGCACGCACAGATCCGACGAGGGTTTGCAATGCCTGAAGCTTTGACACGTTGTGCACGGCAGGCGATTGATGAAGACAAAGCATTTTGGCAAGTGTATTTGGACAACTACATGGGGGGTCAGAAGCTAGTGTCGGGGGAGTGTCCAACAGTTTGTAAGACCCAACATGATAGAGCTGAGGCTGCATGGAAAGAAGTGGGGATTGTTTCCTCCCAGAAGAAACGGGTTGAGAATGCAAGTGAAGTTGAAGAGCTAGGAGCCCTCATTCAAGGTCAAGAAGGCTATCTGGGAGGATCAAACAAAAGATTTTGCAAGCTGATCCAGGCTACCTGCTGGGTTCTTTCTCGGAAAGTGTTGGATAAGAAACAGGCCCAGGTGATCGCTGGAAGGTGGGTGCATGTCCTCCAATTTCGTCGCTCGGGTATGAGCTTCCTGGATAGGATTTGGGGGTTCATTAGTGCAACGCAGAGCGGTAATGATCGTTCACTTCGGGTTAAAAGGGAACTACTCATGGTGATGTTGGCAATCCCTCTCCTTCACACTTCTCTAGGAGCTAGCGTTGATACTTCATTTTGGTGCAGTGATGCCTCAGAAAGTGGAGGATCAATTGCATGTGCAGAAAGGTTGAGTGATGAGGGCAAGGATTTCCTTATGTCGGTTAAGCTTTCGAACCGCACCTTGGGGACGGCACCTATCCTAGTGGTTGGCCTTTTCTCAGGAATTGGAGGGACTTTTAGGATCTACGATATTTTGGACATCATTCCCCAGGCCTCTATCGCGGTGGATATTCACAAGCCGGCTAATAGGATTGTTAGTAGGCGGTGGCCGGGTGTGAAGATCTTGCGAGATGTCCGGGATATCACCAGAGAGGTGGTGCAAGAGTGGGCCCACGACTTTCATACAGTCACTGAAGTGCACCTTTGGGCAGGTTTTCCTTGCAGAGATTTGAGTTCAGCTAGAGCCAACCGTGCTAACCTGGAGGGGCGTGACAGTGGGCTGTTCTTTGAATTCCTCCGAATCTGGCAGTTGCTCAGTGAAGAGTTCTCGGAGATCCAGGTGAAAGCAGCAGCAGAGAACGTGGCCTCAATGGACGAGTCTGCGTCGGAAGAGATATCCAGTTGGATGGGAGTGCGGCCCTATCATCTCGATAGCCTTGATGCAGTGCCTATGAGGCGACCGCGACTGTGCTGGACATCCGAACGCGTTGAGGGCTGCCTAGATGGCTTGAAATTCATTGATGAAAGAAGGTGGTGTCGGATTGAGGCTAAAGCACCGTACCCTCTTCTCAGCCAATGGTTGGAAAAGGGAGCTGAATGGCCAGGAGAATTTCAAGTTGAAGGCTTCCCCACATGTATGCGAGCAGTGGCCAAGGAATCTCCCCCTAAATATCCTGCAGGGTTGAACAGAGCCGATCGTGATTGCCAAGATAGATGGGCCGCATCTAAGTACATTTACCCCCCATACCAGTTTCGGAACGAGTTCTTGATCTGG